GCGACATGCTGCTGGAGCGCAGCGCTGGTCTGAGGCAGCGCTGCTTGGAGGTGAAGGTCCGCTGGGGCTCGGCCTGGCTATGGCGAGCACCCCAGGAAGGAGGAAGGTGGAGAGAGAAGGGGGAAATTGTCATTGGTCTTGCTGGTGTACTTCTTCTTCTTCTTCTTCTTCTTCTTTCTTCTTCTTCTTCTTCCTCTTCTTCTTTCTCTCTCCTCTGGTCTTTATCTCTTTGCAAGTGCTTTCCTTTCTTTCGCAATTGGGTGGCATCGTCTTTCAATGTGAATTTGCACTTGGGAAATGACCAGGATCGTAACAGATATCTGAGAACCATTTTTTAGAGGTAGGTTGAATAGATCGTACAGGTTAAGACAGTAGTAGGGCATACTCTTACCATAGTGGCTGTCATGGATGTGTCTGAACGGAATTCCACCTTAGCTTGGATGCATATGACTGCAATTGCGTCCAGAGGTCATGGAAGAAGTCCCAGTGTGAATGCCCTCTTAGAATAATGTAATGAGCTTCTGCAAAGTCTGCCATGTGGGTCGAGGCGGGGAAGGGGGGGGGGGGGAGGGGGGAAGGGGAAGGCAGAGAGAGAGGGGGGTAGGGAGGGCAGGGCAGAGGTGAGGGGGAAGAACAGATTTGCAAGGAACATGAAAGTGCACGAAGCACAGAAATCCAAATTGCAAAATCACACGGTAGTCCACGTAGTCAACCCAAGAGCAGATAGCACAACGGAGCCAAAGAACCATCCATTTGAGAACTATAGAGCAGATCATGAGTCAATGTCCATGCCCAAGCGGGCTACACCAACACCAATACCCAATGTAGCTCTCTGCTGAGATGGCGCCAGGCGCCCTACCTACTCTATGGCTAGCCTACAACTACTTGCATGACAGCATCCAGACAACTTGACGAACAGCCAGTGATGACGTCAACACCAATGCCGACCTCCTCTTCACCAGGTACGTCCTCCCTTACCCGACTCTCCTCCTCTACCCACACAGCCTTCTCATACCCGAAGACCACCTTCGCCCTCACCCCTCAGCTAGCGCCCTCCCTGCAGCCCGGCTATGGCTGCCAGCGCCCTTCTCGGCTGCGCCCTACCGCTTAGCGCATGCCTGGCTGCTGGGCCTTAGCGCACCGCAAATGCAGCAGCAGCGCAGCAGTGTGCCGGCATTGCTCGCAATGGCCGAATGTCCCCTGTGCCTCGCCTGCTCTGCCTATATCCCGCTTGCGAGTGTGTGGCCTCCCTTGATGCTGCGCCTGGGTCCCAGTATCTGCGCCCAGGCCCAATGCAGACAGGGGCCCAGTTCATACAGTTGTGCCCCTCAGTTCAGAGGCCACGTCCAGATTCAGATACGGGGCCAGTTTCTCATTGGCACTCCCGGCCTGGTGACGACAATGCTGCATTACGATTGGCCGATACTGAATGTGTGATGTGTCGGCCTAGCCTGGCTCACGCCCAGGGTGCAACCAACTCGGCCGTGGGCTCGTCTGCTTGCAGCAGGGCCTGGACTTTGCACACTCCAACCAACTGGCGTGCGGAAACTGTACGGAGGCCACTTCGTGAAATATTGTATTCAGGGCCTCTCGCTGATTTGCAGGCCAGCCTTCACTTAGGGCGGGCACGAGGCTTTCTAGGCCCTTAGCCCAGTACATGTGCATGTTGGCAAGGCCCCGTTGAGGGCTCAATCCTCACAGATTGAGACTGAAGGGGGACAGGTGGAGTAGGCAATTCTATTACTTGTCAGTGCAGAGATTTTTTTTTTTTTTTTTTTTAATCAGTGCAGACATTTTAGTGCGTAGTACTTGTCTTTCTGTGCTAATTTTCAGTTGTATCCAGTTCTCGGCCCCATCTGCAAAGGTTCTGCAGGAGAGAGAACATGAGCCCGGCATCCGCAAGACCTCAGCAGTCGTTCTTTTTTTCCTTTCTTTTTTTTATTCGTCATCTTTTTTTGCGTGTCATCCTTGCAAAGGGGCCATGCTAATCTTCTCTGGATTGTTCCAATTTTATCAGATATCCCCATAAACTCGACGGTCGGGATTCTGCTCTCCAGATTGTCTGCTCATCGTGTGAATCTAGTTCCACGGGGATTCGAGCACAGGTCTGAACTTTTTTTTTTTTGTTTTTTTTTTTTTGTCTGAACTATTTCAGGAGTCCAAGGGTCTACCAACCGGACTACGGTAGGCCCGTTGGTTCTAGATTGATTGCCCTGTCATGCGGTCCAGGGAGGTTTGTGTGTGTGTGTGTGTGTGTGTGTGTGTGTGCGAGAGAGAGAGAGAGGCACACACACACACACAAGATAAATAATAAAAAAATGGTTAACGTTGTTGGCTTTTGTTTTGTGTTTTTTTCCACCTGAAAACCACCCCCCCGAAATTTCACTTATTTTCTTTTTTTTAAGTTGATTATGGTGGGGGACGCCATACCCAGGCCATGCGCCCACCATTTTGGGCGCGCGGCGTGGTTGCAAAAGAACTTGGCCGCGCGGCCGACCTCCTAGGCCGCAGGATCCGAGGCCGAGGGTGCCACATAGCTATGAACATCAGCAAGCTATGAATCCCCCCCGGCGGCGGCCATGTGCGGTCGAGGCGCGACCCCGCAACTTTGGAACGAGAGATTAGCTGCTGCCGTAGGGACCTCGGAGTGTTTCTGCTCTGTTTTTTTTTTTTTTTTGGAATACTCCTTTTTTGATTGCCTGGGTCGTGTAAATTCTCTAGGAAAATGTGAAAATGGAAAGAAGGAATTGTTGTACAGCTGTCCTGGTGGGCCCCTGGGTCGTGTACATTCTCTAGGAAAATGTGAAAATGGAAAGAAGTAATTGTTGTACAGCTGTCCTGGTGGGCCCCTGGGTCGTGTACATTCTCTGGTAAAATGTGGAAACCAGGAATTGTTGTACAGCTGTCCTCGTGGGCGCCCTCTGACTTAGGCGGATGACTCAGATGCCTTTCTCAGAGGGGGACCCACGAATTAAGGGCCTCGCCACACAGCCTGTCGAAACGCAAAAACGAAAAAAATGTGGCAGGTGCATCTGGTCATGTTGTAGCGGGAAGTTCATTCTCGTTTTGCACATTTAGATAGCCTGTGTGGCGAGGCCCTAAGGGCCTTGTTCCACTGCTCTCCATCCTCCACAAGTGGTGAGGTCGCCACTGTTCCACTACGTCGCTGACCTCCACAAAACGATACCTGTCAGGAAATGCAAAAAAATGTGCATGGCGGCCCCTCGCCAAGGCCTCTCATTTCTCCCGCCTGTCACACAATTTTGTAGAGTGACCTCTCCACAACTTGGTTCCTGTGACGGCCGCCCTGACACCGCGGGTCTGACGCATGACCTGGGTTGTCCCGTAGTGTGGGCAAGATTTCGCCATCCGCCACGAAAACAGTGTCCTGTGGAGCCGCTGTGACAAGACATCATCACCGTTCCATTAACCCGCCATCTGCCACGAGAACTGAGTCCGCCGGGACAGTTATCGCATTGCCCATGGCAGTGGCGATAAAATGGAACCATGCGCCATTTTTCGCAGCGAAACTGCAATTTTCCGGGCTGCCACGGTCTGCCAGAGCTCATGGCGAATGGCAAGCAGTGGACTACTCACCATCCGCCACGCATGCGACTTCGTTCCACTGCATCGCCAATAGCCACCAAATGGACGCTGTCAGAATTTCGGTCTAAAATCGCTTGGCAATGGGTCGCCAAGGCCTTCCATTTCCACTGCCTGCAACCGCCCTTCGTGGAGGGCCGCTTAGGGCGCTACTCCTCACCCCTCCGCGAAATGCTTGGAGTGGCTATTGGCCCTGACACCGCGGTCCTGACAGTCACTGTTGGCGAGTTTTCGCTGCACCTAGAACGATTTCCAGTCCCAAGTACATGGTGAAGAGGGTGCAGACGAAATGCTTGGTGTGGCTATTGCGTTGTCCCGTAGTGTTGGTGAGTTTTCGCTGCACCTGGAACGATTTCCAGTCCCAAGTACATGGTAAAGAGGGTGCGGCCGAACACCGCCACCA